TCATGGTGGGACTTCCCTGTTGGCGCGGTGGTTAAGAATCCGCCTGCCAATGCAGGGGACACAGGTTCGATCCCTGGTCCAGGAAGATCCCATGTGCCGAGGAGCCTGTGTGCCACAACTACTGAGCCTGCGCTCTAGAGCTCGTGAGTCACAACTACTGAGCCTGTGCACCACAACTACTGAAGCCCTCTTGTCTAGAGCCCGTGCTCCGCAACAAGAGAAGCCACTGCAACGAGAAGCCTGTGCACTGCAACGAAGAGCAGCCCCCTCTCGCCGGAACTAGAGAGAAGAGCCCGTGTACATCAACGAAGACCCAACGCAGCCAAAAAAATAAAAAAATAAGTAAATAAAATAAAAAATAAAATTAAAAAAATCCTCATGGTCAAAATCTTAAAGATTTATTTTATGATATTGTTGAGGAAAATGCACATACATCGTCTCTTTAACATTCTGAATCGTGTTGAGAGTTGTGGTGGTTTTTTTCATACTCTGCTTCATATTGTGAGTTTCTAAACATACAGGTGCTGTGCAGGCCCAGGAGTGCAGCAGACAGAGAGGAAAAGTTAACATTCAGCTCATTTACATTGTTACTCCCTTTCTAAGTTTGACTTTAGTGTTTGCTTTAAAGAGTATTTATTTTTCTGTATGGTATTAATAATATCAGGTATTCTCTTCTGAACTGGGGAATTGTTCTCTCCATTAAGTTAGTTTTGAGCAAACATTTCTTAAAAACAGTGAAATAGTTCTGAAAAACGTGTCATGAATTGTTTTTTCCTGTTTTGCCTGTTCTATTCTATGTGGCCTATTACACTGTGCACCATTTAACAAATATTATAAACGCAGTCCTGCGTCTTACTTTTACACTGTGAAAACTTGCATTTTATTTCTGTATATACAGTAGTCTGCCTTTATCTTGGGGCATACGTTCCAGACCCCTAGTGGATGCCTGAAACCACCAAGAGTACCGAATCCTATGTATACTATGTTTTTTTCCCCCTATGTATACGTATCTGTGATAAAGTTTAATTTATAAATTAGGCACAGTAAGAGGTTAACAATAATAACTAATAATAAAGTAGAACAATTATAACAATACACTGTGATGAAAGTTATGTGAATGTGGTCTCAGAGTATCTCACTGTACAAATTTAATGCCTTTTTCATCTTAATTAAGCACTTACCACGCACTGTGGCTGTAACGTTTGCAGTTTGAGGTGTGACAGCAAAGCATGCAGATTTCTTTTTCCTTCTTCATGATTTCAGGGATAGATCTTGTTCTTATCGTAGATTGTAGCAACCTCAACTTACAATTTTTTCCTTTCTTTATTAAGTCAAGAACTTTCACCTTTTTACTTACAGAAAGTATTTTATGGCTTCTCTTTGGCATATTCAGATCACCAGAATCACTACTCTTGCACTTTGGGGACATTATTAAGTGAAATAAGGGTCACTTGAACACAAGCACTGTGACACCACGACAGGCGATCTGATACCCGAGAGGGCTACTAAGTGACTAATGGGTGGGATATGCCAAACAAAGGGATGATTCACATCCTGGCGGGTGAGACCAGGTGGCTCAAGATTTCATTACAGTACTCAGAATGGCGCGAAATTTAAAACTTATGAACTGTTTACTTCTGGAATTTTCCGTTTAATATTTTTGGACTGTGGTTGACCGTGGGTCACTGAAACTGTGGAAAGTGAAACCATGGATAAGGGGAGACTACAGTACTTTTATTTTGAGAAGTTAATTTGTAATTTATTAGCCTTTGTGACCTTGCTGTATGGTGTAGTCATTAAGAGCCCAAGTTTTGAAGTCGGACATTTCAGTTTGAGCTCTGGACTCAATCGAATATCACTTCATCTCTCCAAACTTAGTGTCCTTATCTGTAAAATGAGGATAATAATAGCAGCTACCACCTGGAGTTGTTGAGAGATGTACATGAGACAATGCATTTAAAATGCCTGCCTGACCCATATATGTTAGCTATTACTATTACCAGTGTGCATGTATGAGATAGAAGGTGCATGGTGTGTGGTAACAATTTGGGACTAGCAGATTGGAGATGTAGGGTTCTAGGCCAGAGAAAATCCACAAAGGATGTAAAGGGGGGTTGAGACTAAGAGTAAGACCTTGGTTCTAAGAACAAAAGGCAGTGTTACTTTTCTGTTGGATTATTCTATAATTCACATCGTTACAAACAAGGAAATGGATACAGAGTTTATTATTATTATTATTTGAAGTCACTTTAGCAGAATAAATAGGAAAAGATTTGTAGTCAGTGGATTCCTGGACTAGAACTTGATGCATCTATCTCCTTATTCTCTCCAAACAGGAAGTTAAATTACTGTTCCAAGTTGAGTTTGCGTCTGGAACCAAATATGTTACCTGATCTACACTTGGCTAGGCCAGTTAAGTGTTTGGATGAAATGATATGCTTCTCTTTTTATTTTTGGAGTTTTCTGTTCTGGATTAATGTTGGATGTTTGTCGACGGTGGTGGGAGGGCAGCTTGCAATCTAGAATCAGTTGGTCAGGGAAATCTAGTCCTTACATTTGAGCAAAACCTGGAGGAGGCCAGGGAGTGAGCAGAAGAGTAACATGATGTGTGACTGAGGTTTTTAACAGGATCGCTCTGGCTGTTGTGAAAATAATGTACTAATAGGCCCCCAAATGCTTTGTTTTTGGTGTGTATATGCCAAAGGGACAGTCACACACTGGGTGTCACCTTTAGTGTAAACAAGATTGTATTTTATCATAAAAATGAACCCAGAGTTCTCATGAGGCTCCTGTCCTTAAGGGAGTTTTATCCCTGGAAGTTGCCAGGACACGAAGGTCCTAGGAAAGGGACAGAGCAGGGGTTTCCATCATCGTCGGTGACTAATTACTACTTTCGACTGAATCAGGGTGGATACTTGTGGGCATTGTTTTATGTGCAAAAATAGATCTTTTATTTCCCAAAGGTACTGTAGGCCTAGATTGATCTAGATGGAACTTGGAAAAATCCTGTAGAATGATTGATTCTTGTTGATTTCCCTTCAGACAACCTCATTCCTTTCCTTGACCCCCCCCCCCCATTCCATCCTCCCCTTTCCTGCCCTTCCTTGTTGATGAGGGCTGAGGGCATTGCCCTAACAGACTGTATTTTTCTGAGTGGTGGTCATTACTTTCCCTTGGATTGGCTGAAAAATCATTCCTGTCACCTCTCCGGAATGTAGAGTTCCACCTTGGCATGCATGCGTTTGTTCTGCAGCTAGAGGTTGGCAGGCTTCTCCTTCGTTTCAATTTTCTTGTACAATTAAGGCACCTATAGGAAAACATTTGAAGAAAGTTTTCGTTTTGTGGGCTCATAATCAATACCATAAAGTGATTTGCCAGTCTGTTGGCTTCAGTGGTGATTTTTGTACAGAAGGTGTGCAAACAGTGGTTACCAAAGAGTTTAATTGGGAGCACAACATGACTCTCTTCCAAACCTTTGAAACACAGAAGTGGATTTACACAGATAATTGTTCTGAAGTTTTCACATCTCATTTTTATATTTGCCAAACACATCCCCACCAGTTTCGTTTCTTGGCAGTGCAAATGTTTGGAGACACATTGTATGTTCTCCAGCAGTCATGACTGACTTTTTCCCCACATACTGTAGTTGTACAAGTCTGTGGATGGAGCCAAACTGGGGGGATTCTTAGTCCATCATTTCAGTTTTAATTCCTTATAAAATATTAGTAGGAAGGCAAAGTTATTTTACATCAAAGTGACTTTTTTTGGGAAGTGGCAAATTAAACTTTATGGCCGCAGCTGTTCAGAGTGGAATTTGTAGGAAGTTGAAGAGAAGGGAATGCTTATAACACTGTGATTTAAATCCTTAGTTCAAGAAAGATGCAAGCTGTGAATAAACCAGGGTATTGAAATGTAGAAAAATATTTTTGTAAATATGTGTTTTAAAACCTAGGCCCTGTTGTTTCAGCCTGTCTTCCAAAAGCAACGATGGCTCTGATTTTGCAATAGGAGTCTTTGTTTAGAGGTCAATGTGACACACTGAAAAAGAAGCGTAACTTAGTAGGGAGGCTCCCTAACGGTGAGTACAGTCAGCCTTGCATGTCTGCGGGCTGTGACTCGGTGGATTCCATCAACCACCTCTCGTTGATGTTGAACCCCGCGGAAGCGGAACCCGCGGAAGCGGAACCCGCAGAATTGAGCACCCATGGATTTTGGTATTCACAGCAGGTGCTAGAGCCTCCTTGGATACCGTGGGATGACTGTTCACTGGGTAAAGAATTTGAGAAAGAGCAGGACCTTTACCACATGTTGTTCCTTTTCCTGGAGTATCACCTTCCTCACCCTTACCCGCCACCACATAACCTTGCTTAGTTGGTGCCTTTTTCTCCTTTAGCTCTCAACACTTGACGGGGATGTCTTCTCTGATTTGGCTAGTCTCTGTACGGTACACTTTTATAGCCTTACATAATTCTTCATAAAGTATAAAATTTTATTTTAAACTTATTTGAATAATATACTCATTCTAGGAACTCCATGAGATTAGCGAGAGTTTCATTATTTTTTGTTATTATTGCATCTTCACTGCCTACAAACAATTTTTGGCACAGGATAAATTTTGGCAGTTGATAGGTATTTGTTTGATGAAGAAATCCATGAATGATTGAATGTGGGTGGCTATAGAAAGGCCAATAGAAAGATTTAGGCTCATGTCCTCCAGTTCAAATGCCTACGGGGCCAGCAGCCCAAGTAAATGATTGCAGGAGACTAGTGAAATGACTTGTCATGTGCTGGGCAACCAGATAGAATGTCGTGGACAGGTGCCCACCTAGTGGATGTTCTTGTCCCTACTTCAGTGGAGGCTAGTTCTTCCCATCATAGGGGTGTAGGCTTGGACTGTGGTAAATTTGAAGGACTGCCCCAGGCATATGGGTTAGGTTGTGGTGCGCTTAAGTAGTAAAGAAAACTGGAAGGAGGTCTGCAGGAGGACCTGGAGCGTCAAGATGGTTTTTGAGCAGAGGCGAGAAGTCATCAGGTGAGGCAGTGTTTAGGAAGAAAGTTTTAGCAGTCTGGGATGTCTTCAAGTAGAACAGAGGACTAGTAGGTTTCGAGGTTAACGTAATAGTCCATGCCAGAGCTAAATGAAGCAGGCACTGGCAGAAGAACCAATAGTTTAATATCTAGCACTATTTTTGCAAAGACAAACGTATTAGAAAAACAGATTTCTGAAAAGTATACTACTCTTCATCGAAGTCTTTCTGGAATCAGAAATGGTGACTGGAAGAGGAGATCGTGAGGTAAAGTCAGATTGCTGTGAGTTGAGGATTGAGTGGGATGTGAGAAAGGAAAGCCAGTGAATGGAGACTCCTCTTTTGAGAAGTTTTTCAGAAAAGGAAGAAAAGAGACTGGAGCAGAAGCAGGGGCAGTGGAAAATACCAGAAAGATACAAGGGGTAGGAGGGATTTACAGCACCCATGAGGATCCCTTTTTCTGAGGTGGTAAGAGCAGAGCAGAGTGGGTGTTGATGCCCAGTTCCTGAGGTGGGAATGGCAAGCAGACAGACAGCAAGGTCTTGTCAGGAGGCAGGAGGAGGCCATGCACTCAGTGAGGAGAGTGTGTCGGGTTGGGGCTTTGCTTTGGGGAAGATATGTATAGGATGGAATCCTGAAATGCATTTCCATTTCCACTTTTATCACAGATTTTATTGACAGGTGCTAAAGAAATATTCTTGGAAAGATCGAGAGAAAGCTTCTTTTGCTTTTTCCTTCTGACTTGAAAACTCACCAGAAGCCTTAAACACTTCCTGAAATCTTGAAAGAAGTGAGTTCAAAACTATGCTATGAAGGATATTTTGGACCTGTGGAAACCCAGAAGCCATTGCTTTTCTGTGAAGGATCCTGCTTTGACTCAAAGTCCAAGTCTAAGGCCTGTCTCACAGAGCTTCAGTTAGCCCTTCAGTCAGATAACTGCATCTGAAGTGCTTCAGAAACTAATAGATCAGTACCAAAGTATAGTAAAATATTATGAAACTACTGTAGACATTCAGTAATGTCTTTGGAATCTGGTAAAACGTTACGTTTACAAGCACTTTTTCATTAAAAAAATATTTTTGCTTTACCAGGCTGTTGCTGTTTTTCCATCAGTGAATTTCAGGCTAAGGTCTTTTCAGAGTATCTCCTGATAAGTCAACACATCTATTTCAAATGTGTTTGTTACTAAGCAACGGTTGCCAAGAGCCTCTGTAATTAAGATGAAACTTGCAAGGTAACAATGCCCAAACATAGTACCATTTTCACCATTTTCTGATAATGTTGAGAGTAGGGTGAATACAAGTGAAAGAAGACTCTATTTTAGTGAGAGCCCAGTGTCTGAAATTTCTGCCTATATTGGCTGTCCTCTAGCTCACTCAGGACAGAGTGTTTGTGTTTGACAAATCAGCCAGTGATTTTTTCTTTTGTGTCCGCCATACATATTCCTCACGTGAACCGGTGAGCACCTGCTTCAGGCAGGGTCCCTGTGCAGCTGTGGCACGACTGGCCATGTGGTACCCAGGCCCACACTCTCTGACGTGTGCTCTGGCAAGCGGGGTGACCCGAGTGAGCTTCACATGAACTCAGCCTCCTTTGCAGCCATTGACTGACCTAGATTAGGCTGCGATGCAGGCAAGTTACGTACTTTGCTTAACAGCACACAGTGTCTTTTTCTTTTGGTGATTTGTAAGGGAAGGCTCTGATGAATTTTTTCCTACTCATTGTGCCTGGCTCATGGCAGAAGCTTTACAAATGTTTCTCTTTCCCTTCCCGATCCAGGGGC